GAGTATTTCCTTAATTGGACATGAGAGTCTTGAACTGGTTCCAGTTTCAGTGTTTTCTTTTAGGGGCTGGACCCTAAAGATTCCGTACAGTTTTCTTTCTCAAAAAAATCCCTTTGCTTCAAAGGTCCCTTGATAGACGTAAAGAAAAAGCCAGGGCTGAATCTCTTTGATATTTGGGAAGGCAAGAGTTTATGGCCTGCTGGATCCCAGGCTTCTTTTGGGGGTGAGAGGATGCTGGCTTGAAAGAAGAAAGCTTCTCCTGAGCTGGACCATGGCAAGTGGAGAGCCCTGATGGTAAGGACGCCAGGCACCTTTCTCTGGAGAATTTATAGGAACAATTTTTCTCAGCTGCATTAACACCCTGAGACGTCATACAGTGATTCTATTGCCTGTATTTGCTGCTTTAGGAGTCTGAGACACAGAGAAAGCCAGGCACTTGCCTGAAGACTTAGAACAAAGTAAGGCCAGGCTGAAGAGTTTGTCTGGTGGGTTTGGGTTTCTTTGGGCTAATTTCCTAATTGCTGAGGTGGGGGTTGTTCCCACTCTCGAGCTTCATCCATTCCTCATGGGCCGGTACCCGGCTGGGCACTTCCCTGAAGGCACCAAAGACAGGAGGAACTGGGGAGGTGAGAGGAGATGCAGCGACAATAGTGACCACCAGGCAGAGCATCACTACTTGCCTCTGATGTCAGCCCCCCAAAAGCTGGAAATGTCAGTGAAGGGACTCCAGGAGGAAAAGAGGGCAGTCTGTGATTGCAATGAGAACCCAAAGCAGATGCAATCAGGTCTGCTGAACCCCTCTTTCCCCCCAAACACCTTAAAAACAAGCCCTGCGTCTGCTCAGTGCTTTCCAATCTACCAAATGTTTTCATAACATTATCTCATTTCATTCTCACTTCAACCCACACACATTCTTGCCTTTCAGATTTCTTATGTACTCAAATGAGTTTCACTGAAAAATTGGCTAGAAACTTCCCTTCTCCTACTCACTTTTTTCCCCTTAACTTCAAGCCTTTGACTGATATCTTTAAGAAGCTCCTAAATTCCCAGGGTGAGAAATTTGTTTATTCTGCCAGCCCTGTCCTGCTGGATGGATACCAGTGGTCCTAGTCTTTGCTATTGGAACCAAGACTTTTATATTCATTCAAGTTTAGCTGTTAAAACAAACCACAAGCATGAGAAGTGGGGAAAACACAGGCTTTAGAACCAGCAAGCAAGCCCCCAAGTCACATTTTGGTTCAGCTATTTGAGAACCACCTGGCCAAGTTACTTAATTTCCCAGAGCCTCTGTTTCTTCAGTCTATAAAGTGGGGCAATAGTGCCTATGTCTAAGGTTGTTGTGACGCATAAATGTGGTAAGAGTTATGAGCGTACCTCAGCAAGTGTCACCTCTTTCTTTCTCCTACTTTCCTTCCCAAGGTCAAAAGGTTACTTTCTAAAGTCCCTCATAGCTAACCAAAGTACCAGTTTTCACCACTACAAGGCAAAGTAAACACAATATTGTCTTTTTGCAAGCCAGAGAAAGAGATAAAATATGGGACTATGCTACTAAATGAATTTAGATGGCGCCTTTTTTTCTTTTCTTTCTCTTTTTAAAATATTTATTTATGTATATGTATATTCATTTTTTGAGACAGGATTTTATCTGTTGCCCAAGCTGGATTGCAATGGCACAATCATAGCTCACATGACCCAGATGCCTGGGCTCAAGCAATCTTCCTGCCTTAGCCTTCTAAGTAGCTAGGATTACAGGCATGTGCCACTATGCACCGCTATTTTTTTTTTATTTTTGTTTTTTGTAGAGATGGGATCTTCCTGTGTTGCCCAGGCTGGCCTTGAACTTCTAGCCTTAAGCCATCCTCTGGCCTTGGCCTTCCAAAGGGCTGGGATTACAGACATGAGCCACCACACTTGGACATTTTTTTCAAACTAGATGAGTAATTAGCGACATGTCCTGCATACCTGGCACACTTGCAACTGAGGTAACTCTAATAAGATCTTAAGTTCGTTTTCTTTATTTCTTTAACATTTTTTATTTTAGGAAGGAGCTGGGAAACTGTACTTATTTTAAAAAGCAATGCAATGGTGATTACACCTGAATTTTTATTGAAGCAAAATTGCAATTAGTCTTTTACTCCCTGAGGAATAATTGCAACAAAGGAAAAGGGAGGGAGCACAGAGGTCTCTATGTGTTTAGTTCACTGATCTACATATAGTGGTCGTTCAATAAATGTTGGTTATGGACTGAGGCAGTTTAGAAAGTTAAGATCTTGAGTTTGACCTTTGCTGCTGACTTCTTGGCAAATGCAATGCAAGATGTAGTGTTATAGTGGAAAGAACCTTTGACTGGCGGTCCCAAGGCCTGCATTCATGTTCCATCTCCACCACTTAATAGCCTGGCGACCTTGGACATGCCATTTAATCTCTTCAGTGTCTTCTCAGCTGTAAAATGAGGAGACTGGAGTAGATGATTTGGAAAGTCTCTTTCAGCTCTAAGGTTCTGAGGATCTAAGTAACTTCATTCACCTGTGTTTCTGTTCTTCATTTATTCAAAAGCAATAGGGATAGAGACCTATCTCATACAGCACTGGGAGGAAATAATCAGTGTACATGTTAAAATACCCTATGTCTTTAGAGATAAGAAGGAAAGGCAGTGACCCAGAGCACCATAGCAGAGTGGGAAACTAAGTATACCTACAACCCCTGAGTTCCAGGCCCAGCCCAACCACTTTCTAGCCGTGTGATCTTTGGCAAGTCCTCTCACTTACTTCAGCCTCAGTTTGCATATCTATAAACTAGACAATGTAAGTTGTGCTATGCTAATCTTATCACATTTTTTTGAAAGCCATGATAGTGAAATGCTTTGAAGAATTGCAAGGCACTATATAAAGTCATATTACTGAGAAAGAATAGATCTGGGATCATAACCCAAGGCTTACTTTCTACTTCAACTTACTAACATAAGTGAAATTCGGTAAAAATGGGCATTAACACAAAGTTTCCTAAAAAGTTGGCCTAATTGCCTCTCTGTTCTCCAACGTGGGGATTTTTTCAAAAGGCCAAATAGCTACTGGTAAAGGCTTATTCCCCACACTCTTCTCCAAAATGAGGCCATTTTGACACCCATCATGGGGGGAGATAATCACTTTCTGAGTTCTGAAAGTTTCAGATGGCAATAATCACAAATATGTAAAAAATGTCTTTTGTACATAAAAGTGGTATGACGGTCTTTCATCCTGGCCTTGTCAGGGACTGCCACAAGAGATAAATGACAGCTCCATCCTACTACTCCAAGGCCTGGCCCAGACCCTCTGCTATCAGTGACTGGGATGTTCCAGGCTGGAAACCATCTCTCCAAGGCACTGGCTTCTTCTTTGGCCACTTAGATGACAAGGTATCACGCCCAGAAGGACAAAGACGTAGTTTTATAGTGGAAAGAACCTTTGACTAATGGTCACATGTCTATAAAAGTATGGCCCTCCATCAGGACACCACTTCCACAGGAGCAGAATGGAGGTGGAACTTGGAAGCCCAAATCATTTTCTGATTTAGCTTGTGTGTGTGTGTGGGGGGGGGGGACAGTGGGTTCCTGAATTTCTCTGGTTAGAGAGGGCAATTAGGAGATTGTCATGAAGCTGTTTTCATAGGAAGCTCGCTGCTTTTACTCAGGCTGTATATATGAATGATTGAAAATAGCAAAAAAAATTTTTGATAGTTTTTGTCAATTCTTATTATTTGTATTTAGGCTGGTTGGGGGGGGTGGATGATAAAGATTATGAGGACCCCCTCTCCAACCTCATGCCCTGTCCCTGTTGTGCTCTGTTAAACCCATCATCCTTTTATGTCAGATAAATGTATGCATTTCTACTTTTGACATCATATACATGGATTTGATATGTATTCGCTGTCTTGCAAAGAGACGACTTCAAAGCAGATTTAATTCTGCTTAATATTCAATAACCCCCCCCCGCCCCCCCAAGACACACACACTTTCTCCAGCCCCTGTATACACATAGGTCAGGGTTATAAAGCCATTTTCCAGGCGTAATTGAAGCAGAGGCCACAGAGGGGCAGCGCTGGGTCCCAGGTCAGACTCCCATCGTCCTGGCTCTGGGGGCAGCACAGCTTGACCGCCTGGACAGACCCCAGGAGCTGCGATTCCTGGGCAGTGTGGGAGGCATTAGGCTGAAGTTCTTTGTTTCCGCAGCAGTAGAGCGACTCCTCGGAGCAGATCTGGGAGCCAAGGCTGGTTGGGTCTGCTTGCGTGCTGCCCACCAGCACCCTGCCCCGCCGCTGGCCGTGTGTGTGTATGTCCAATGGGAAAACCCTAGGTCGACACCACATTCTTTCTCTCTCAAAACGCTCCACGGATCCCAGGGATTCAGAACAGCCCTCGCAAGCCAACCTGCCCCCTACAGGCACTCGGTCCTCTAGCTACGCGTCCTTTCCACCTTCCCACCGCGTTTTAGCCGTGCTTCTGCAGCTAGCCGGGATGGGAAGATTCGCCACCAGCGCCGCGGTCAGCAGCAGCATGACAGGGAGGGGCCTAGTTTGGGGGATGAACACTGAAGAGGGGATCCGAGGTGTGGGCTAGGGGCGACGAGTAGTTGCAACGAGTGGGTGCAAGAAAGGGCGCTAGCGCCAGGCGGGCAAGGTGGCGCCCTCCCCCGGGCGCTGGGCGGCCGCGGAGCAGTCACGTCCGGAGCCGGCCCCAGCGCCCTCCTCACGCCCATTCCTCCGCTCTGGGGCCCCGGGGACGTGCGCGGGAGGGGGCTGCGGACGCCGGCGGACTTGCGAGTGCGGAGAGGCGCTCGCTTGGAACTCCAGGCGGGGCGTGCGTGGATATGTGCGTGTGTGCGAGCTGCGGGCGGGCAAGGAGCCGCAGCGAACCAAAGCTCTCGGGAGCCGCGCCGAGCGCCCCCGAGCCGCCGCCAGCGCGAGCTGCGAGCGCTGAAGCCATTCATGATTTTGGTGACGTTATTCCAGGAGTGGGTGAGGGAGGGCGTGGCCTCTCTGGGCCAAGTCCCGCCCCCGCCCCTATAAATACGGCTTCCCGGGCTCTTTGTGGGGCTAGGAGCTCGGTGGAGAGCGGGGAGCTCCAGCTGTTTTGCCGACGCCGCTGGCCGTGGGGTTGTCCCGAGAAGGCGGGCGGTGAGCCCCAGTGCGCTCCCGTGTCATCCTCGCTCGGGACGCAGGAACCGTTTTTAAATCACAAGGGCGTGGGTCAGCCTCCCCTAGGACTTCATGTCTGTATATTTCCCCATTCACTGGTGAGTACCCTGTGCCCGTGGCGGGCGGCTGTCTAGCGGCCGTGGCCACGGGGCCTGGACGCAGACTCTTGCCGGCTCCAGGTACTAGGGCAGCCGGCGTTTCAGGCTCCAGTCGCTAACCGGCTGCCCGAGCCGTGTAGGAGTCAACGTCAAGGTTGCAAAGGTGGGGGTGGGGGGAAGTGGTGCTGAGAGCATCCAGACAAAGGAAGTGAAGTCGGAGCCCTCACTTAAGTGACTGCTGGAGGGCTTGTTTGGGGCCTAGGGGAGCCAGGGGTTAAGCCTGTATCCCTTTAGTGACACCCCCTATTCGGAGAGCTGCAGGAGGCGGGCGCCCTGCCCGGCACGGGGGACTCTTGCTGTCCCCGGCCCCTCCCCTTTTTTTTGTTTGCATGCAAGTCTCGGCGTCGAGGCCGGCTGCAGCGGGGCTGAGCTGGTGCAGCTGCGACGTTTGCAGAGCTCCGGAGAGTGGAGGAAACACGGTCTCCTCACACAAAACCCAGCCCAAGCCACAAGCTGCAGGGCACACGCTGCACCCTCTCGACCTCTGCCCTCTTCATTGCCCCTAAAAAAGGACACACCTTGGTGGGAGCCTGGGACTGGGAGGAGCCGCCCCAGCGTTGTGGAGCTGGAAAGAGCCGATCAGGACGGCAGGTCCGGGCCGGGAGGGATGCGGAGAGACGCCCCTGGCTGCTGGGACGTGCGCGCCCGCTGCTCCTTCCTTCCTGAGCTAGGTTAGAGGAGAGCGGCAGGGGCGGGAGCGCTGGCGGCCCGGAGCGCGCTCTCAGGTGCGAGCCTGGGGAGCCCGGTCTCGGGTCGCCAGCGGCACTGGGCAAGGGGACAGAGAGCTCAAACCTCCTCGAGGTCCTCTCTGGCCCAGAAACCGCAGTGTTCATGCTTCCCGCTTCAACTTTCGGCTTGAGCCACAGCCCCGAGCGAGGACAGAGGGAAGAGCCTGGAGAGAGCCCGGTGGGCCCTCTTCTGGCCTGTTTCTTCTGGGGGTCCGGTGGCAGCCATTCCAGGACCCGGGAGGAAATGCCTTTGGAGGTCCCAGCTCCCGAACCTAAACGTGCCTCGAAGGCCGCATCTTCCCTCAGTCTCCCCTCATCCCAGCTTGGCCCTGTTTAGAGAGGGAACTGAACTTGCAGAACAAACTAGAAATCCCTCCACCCCTAAAGCTTGTGTACCCCTCTCCTTCTGGGTGCCCGCCTCCTCCTTCCCCGCCAGGCGCCTTGTGGGTGAGGATGCTGAAGCCTTTGTGCCTCTGGCCGCTCACACTTGCCAAAGTGGGTGTTAGGGCCCATCAGGAATGTTATGACAAAATAAGGTTTAAGATATTTTATTGATTAGTACTTCATACTTTGCAACACTTTTTGGCGAACATTAACCCTTAACCTAATATACACTGTTAGCATCATAGTCGCAGACGGGGAGGGTGTAAGACTTGTTCAAGGGAGGGTGGAGGGAGGGTGAAGCTCGGGGAGGGTGTAGGACTTGTTCAGAATCACACAGCTCATGAGCAGCAGAGCAGAGACCAGAATCTGTTAGTTCTGTTTCCAAATTCAGGGTCATTTCTTAACAACCATAACATGAAGAAGAGTCCTGCACCCATTTCCTTCCAGTCCTTGGAAAGCCTGTCCCACTCTTTTTAAACCACGTGCACAGGCATGGTGGTGAGAATATTGGGTGTTTTGTAGTGGATGCCTGGATTTGGTATGTATGTTTGGCATTTTGTTCACAGGATCCTGTGTGTGCCCATGGCTTGTGCAAGGATAATGGAACATTTGTATCCTGCTTAGAGAGTACAAAGCACTTTCACATGTCAGCCATTGGTGGGCCAGCTTAGTCCCTCTGGAAATTTCCTTTGTGATCAGAGTCGGGTATCCTTAAGGCTTTTAATCCAGGGGATGTTTTTCAAGCTGTGAGTTTGCAGCTGCTGTGGCTGAGGCTAGAGAAGGGGCTTGGCTGGCAGATGTGAAACTTGCAGCAGAGCTGACCCCTTGGGGCTTAAGTGGGGCATTTTGCCAAATGGAGCACCACAGAGACTGAGAAATTGAGGAAAGCATCATGCTTGGACTTTGTTTCCCTGAGGTTGACTTGCTGTTGTTATTATGTAATAATAGTATGCAGTTCCCCTTTGGAAAACTCATGTGAGGATTATTTTTATTCTTAGTTGGAGGGGTGAGGGGAGCTGTGGCTGAATTGGTTTTAATATAGACAGATGGACTCAGCAACCTACTGTTTTGGTTTTTCTAATTCTGTCATTTAAAAGAAAATTCAGGGAGTAGTGCAAAAGAGAGAAAGGAAGAGGTTTGCTAGGGAGGTTTGCAGACAATGGCCTTTGTGGGTCGAGGCTTGGAGCCCTGGTGCTGTGGGCTTGCAAGGCGCTTCCTCAGGGTGTGAGCTTGTTTTTCTGCAAGTTCTGTTTTGAACACCTCTCATCCTGCTTCCAGACAGTCCCTTGATCCCACAGCAGCCAATGCATGGAGAGCAGGAATGTGAAAGCACGTGTTTGTTGACTTTTGGTCTGGGTTTCTTGGCAGCCCCGATTATCTGAGATCAGCGGAGATGACTGAGGTGATGATGAGCACCCCATCCATGGAGGAGATTGGCCTCAGCCCCCGGAAAGATGGCCTGTCCTATCAGGTGAGTTAAGTACTGGTTTCTCTCTGACTCCTCAAAGCCTGGTGTCTCTTGCCAGGGCAGAAGATGGGCTTGGTTTTGCTTCTCAGTGCCATTACTAAGAGCTATGCAACCTCGGGAAAGTCTACTAATGCCAATGGGCCTTAGTTTCTTCAGCTGTAAAATGGGACAGCAGTAGTCCTTACCTCATAAGACTAGGTGAAGATTCAACATGATAAGAGGATGCGTGAAAGGCATTCCTAGTGCCTGGGACTAATAGGGAGTCAGCAGGTATTAGCCATTCTTATTAATTAGTCATCCTGGCTCTGTGAACTCTCCCATTCACAGCAGCAGAGGAGGAAGAGATTTGTGCAGTCAATTCAGACCAGAACTTCTCTTCCCAGCCATGCCGTGGATATAGAGGCATTGCTGGGAGGGGTGGCTTCTGGGGAAGGGTGATCAGCTGGGGGATAGTTGTGTCCAGCGCTGCTTTCTTTCTCAGGTAAACCTGCTGGTTCAGAGTTAACATTCAAACTACTTAGAGTGGGAGAGATATCCCCCCCAAAGAGAAGCTATCTCAGGGATGCTATTGCTGGGTTCAGGCTCAGAGATCATCCTGTCTTGTGGATTCAGTGTGCATAAGGACCACACACACAATGGGACCAGACTGACCACTTGGGGCTCTCATCCTGGCCCTGTTTCTGGCCTGCCTTGCTATTTTCCCACTATTCTTGGTGGGCCACAGGAGTGTGACAGAACACCTTCAGTTACCTCTGGGGCAATGAGCAGGTTTGGGATTTCCCAGGTTGTTAAACTGGCGGGAGGAAGAAGTCTGCTGGGTGAAGGTTAGGGTTAAAGTTATGTAGGGTAGCTGGCCCAGGGAAGTCGAATGGGGGATGGTAGTGCGTGCAACAGGCATGAAGTGTGTGTCCTCTGTGGGCCAGATGATTTACAGACATTACCTTGCTCACTCTGTACCAGGTGGGACTACTTGCCCTGCTTCAGATGAGAAAATAGGTTCACCCTGAGTCAGCAACTCGGGTCCCTCTAACCCCAGAGCTGGGTCCTTCTGATGTATTGTTTGTACGTGCCATGGGTTCATTCTGGGTGAAATCTAGACTTGCTCTGGCTGATCATGCCTCAGAACTGCTCTTGGGACATTTATTTTGTAAAGAAAGAAGCAAATAGAAAGCTGAGGTGGGTGTGAGGGGAGGGTGACCAAAGAGAGCCCAGTTGAAAGCTCAGATTGGGTGTTGTAACTTCAGACACGGCTTAGGAGGCCCCAGGAGGCCCCTTTGTTTTGTGTCAATATAGTCAGGCCCCTCTTGCTGACTGGAAATAAGTATGACATTAGCCTGAAAGGGGGGTGGAGTTGAGGGGGACACGAAACCCCTGGATTGGTTTTAGAGCATCTCCCCCAGAGTGGGTCTGGGGAAGACAGTTGAGGCCTCACAGGCTGGTGGGAGGTGCAGAAGTTTCCTGGCCCACCAGCTGGGGCGGTTTTGGCTACCAGTTTCCAAGCTACTGAGTCAGACTGAGTCGCTTGTGGTTACAGGTGAGGTTTTCTCTCAGTTCTGGGTTTTAGATTTCCATCACAGAACCTTTCCAAATTCAGTCGTTGTTACATCTTCCGGGTGCTTTTTATGCTGTTTGTTCTCCTTTTAAACACATCCCAGGATGAAGGGCCAGGCCGCACAGTTTTCTCAACCCTTTGAGTTCTTCAGGCCATTCTGCTGGGTCTGAGAGTTAGGGCAGGTGGGAGAGAGGCAGGGGCTGCCATGCTGTGTGAGGGAGGCTGAGGGGGCAGGAGGGAATTAAATCTCCTCCGGGCTCCTCAGATACTGCAGCACCGCCAGAGGAAGGGATTCTCAAATCTTCCCTTGTAGTGCTCGACTGAGGGCCCAGTTCTTAGAGTGCCTCAGAAAAATCTGCCCATGATACCCACGTGGGGACCACTGCCCAGTTACAAAGAATCTTACCTGGAACTTCAAAGTACTCTTGTCATAATTTTTCACCATTTTTATGATTTCAGAAAGGTGCCTTGGTTGTCTGATGAGGAGAAAGGGGAGAGGCTGTAGTGTTTAACCAAGCAGCATTTATTGGGCGTTTTCTGTGTGTAACCCGCTGTGCTGGCCCAGGGTCCGTGGGAGAGACCTGCATGCACAGAAACGTCTGGGACTCAGGCCGTGTGTTCTGCAAGTGGGGGCGATCTGGAAGCCTCGGTCTATCTGGGTACTGGTGGCAATGATCAGATCTTCCTGGTCGAATCTGAGAAGGCTTGGCAGGGGAGGTGAGACCCGCTCAGGGCTTTGAAAGAAAATTAGGACTTTGACAGGGCAGCTCCATTTCTAAGGCCATATTATTGCACCTTCAGATGCCCCTAGACTCACCCTTGTTTATGCCAAGGGTGGGGCCCCACAGTGGTCTGATGATTGTCCTGTGACACATAGTCTAGGGCCCACCTAGAGCTAGTGCCATCCAGTTAAACAGAGTCCCACCAGACCTCTGGGGATAGGCTGGGATTGGCACTTGGCTAGAGCCTGTCTGCTTGGGCCTGGCTCGGGTCTGGGGGCAAGGGGGGGTATTGGCGCTCTGTTCTTGGCATTCTTCCTGCGGATAATAATAGTACGTGGCTTTTACCAAGACCTGCTTTTCTGAGGAACTGTGAGTGGGAAGGAGACATCAATCCCAACTTGGCAGATGAAATAGAATCTCAGGCTTGTGATTTGACCTTGAAGCAAAGTCATCAAATAAATGGCACATTGGACTTTGTCAGTCACTCCCCCACTTTCCAGACCTCCTGAGAATGCAGCTTTCCTGATTTCTCTGTACCAGATATGACCTTTCTTTCAACGCCTGTGGCATTTTGTACTTCCCAGTGATGCCATGCTGGGCCTCGAGGATACGGGCCCTGCTTTGCCTTCTCCTTGCTCTGTCCCTGGGGGCCGGGCAGGACTTACTGTCTTTTTACCCCTCTCCCATCCAAGGTGCCTCCATGAGTAGTGCCTTCATGGGCAGCTGCTGAGTGACGATGTTGTTTCCCTGAAGTTGAGTCTCCTGATTCTAAAGCTAGCATCTTCCCTCCTGAGCCTCTATGAAGGCCTGGTCAGGCTCAGCCTGTCATGGGTTCAGATCATTGTCCTCTGTAGCCCCTGATAGATTCTGGTCAGCCCCGTGTATTGTCCTTGGCCACTTAGTGCCATTTGGTGAGCACGTATAAAAATCAACGGAACTGGAGCCTTATTTTGTCTTAACATTCATTGGGAGAGTTAGTTGTTCAGTGAGTGAAATCCATGTCTGCACATCCACTCAATGTGAATTGTGACACCCCATGGAGTGAGGGAGTAAATGATTACTAGAAAGTCTGAGTATATTTGGGCAGGCTGTGGGCAGCCACCAGCTCACCAACTGAGTGGGAGGGTCTCTAGGAGGATGTGTTTGTCTCTGCTGTCTGTAGCTATGTCCGCGGACCTCCCAGCATCCAGCTCTTAGGACAGGAATGTCTGCCCAGTGCCTCCTCTCTTTCTCTAATTCAAAGAAGTGAATCAGCAGCTACCTGGGGAAGCCTGTTCCTTCCTTGGCCCAGGGACTCTAGGAATGTGCCTCTGGCCGGGTCTCCTTTTACAACTGAACCCAAATTGGCCTGGGCTGTGTCTAGCGAGGGGTCCTGGGAGTGTGCTTGTGGGCAGTGACAGTACTGCAGCCCGGGGCACTGGGATCCCTCCCTTGCGGCCTGGCGTCCCCCCAGCATGGCATCCTGAGGCTTCAGTGTCATCGCCCTTGCTGAGGTCTAGATATAGATGTGGCTCCTTGCTTTTCAATTAAAACTGTCCCTTCTAAAGCATCTGGACCAAGACCTGATCACTTTATCCTTCTCTAGGCTCTTTAAATTCCTCTCTAATCAGCACATATCCCCTGCTGGCTGCCCTCTGTATGTTATTGTTAGTCATGTCCTCTTGCCATCTGACATCCACCTGTCAGTCAGACAAACAGCGGGCGCTCCTAAGGGGAGCGAGGGAGGATGCTTGGCAGCCAGAGGAGCGATTTCTTCTCACACCCTGGGGAGCCTGTGCGGTGCCTTTGCTCTGCAGAGCCCGGAGCTTTCTGCACCTGCTGCTTCATTCCCCAGGTCAGGAGCAATGGATCTCCTGGCCTTTCAGGAGGTGCACAGATGCTGACCTTTCTGGCCTTGGCCTTAGTGTTTGCTCCTGCAGCTCCAAGTCTTGGTTGCAGCTCTGCAGTGAGGTCTGAAGGGCCATGGGGACTGAGAACTGGCCTCTCTAGGGACAGGATTTCCTGCTCTTTTATTTCTCAGATCCTGCAAAATCCATCTCCTTTCTCTCCTTCCTCCCCACTCTTCATCAGAGGCAGGAGCTCCTTTCAAACCCTTAAGTCTGGCAGCAGCCCAGAAATACTCTCTCTCCACTCACGTCCACGCAGAGCCTTTCTGATGACGCCCTCCTGGGCTCCATCTCCCTTGGAGCCTCCACCTCCACGTGTATTCCACTCTCTGCCTGCGTGGAATGCACGTGCTGAAGTGGGTGTCAGGTTATGGTTCCTGCCCAGAGTCACACCTTCATCCTCCTTGTCCCTGTTCATGAGGTCGTTCTGGGCATCGCATATCCATGACATTTAACATTTGCTCCTCACCCTATCTCATGGGTCACCCCCAGCTGTAGCACGGGGTGCTATATTTGTCCACAAGAGTTTGGGATATTCTGCTTAGCAACCACACACAAGTCCCATGGTCACCAGGGACCCATCTCTCATGACATCAGCCTTAAAAGGCCTCACATGTCCCTGGAGGAACATAGAGCTAAAATTCCAAAACACTTGGCAGGAGATGTCCAGCTGTAGACACGACATGTTTCTGGAATTGCAGCAGATTTTCTCTCTGTTGTCCCTACTCCCTCCACACCCCACCCCTTGGTGAGAATCATGATAATGGGGTATAAGGCAGGCGGCCCGGCCACCTGATTCAGAAGCACAGAGAACGTGCTTCCCTGAGAGATGCTGGTCCTGCA